AACGACGCCCGCCAGCTCCAGGCGGACCTCAAGGAGGATGACTACACCTTCCTCATGGTAAAGCCCTTGCCGGGGTCTTGCCCCGTGCCCTGCGGGGTGTCACCCCCGCCGTGGCACCCTCCTGCCGCTGCCGGGGTGCAGGGTGATCCTTTGGGGGTTCGCAAGCCCCTGTGACCCCTTACAAGCAGGGGGTTGATGCCCGCTGTCTCCTTCTCTTTCAGACCCACAAGAACCGCAAGCGCAGGTAAGTCCCGGTCCCCGCCGCGTCCCCTGCCCGGTGACACAGGGTGCTCAGGGTGGCCGAGCCCCCGTGTCCCCTCCCTGGGGATGAACGGGGTCTCCTGCCTGGCTGTGGAGTGAGGTCTCTGCCCCAAGCGAGTTTCCTTACTCGCGTGTCCCCTCCAGGTCCGGGTGCTCCAGCAGAAGGTGCTGGGGGTCCCCAAGGCCAGGCAGCACCCCTGGGTGCCTCTGGGCAGGATGGGGGGGGGCGTGCATCAGACACAAAGCAGCACTGCAGGTCTTGGGGGGAAGCATCAGAACCCTGATGTTGGGAGGGGGGCGGGATTTGGCACTGGGACCCTCCTGGGGTGAGAGCAAGGTTTGAGAGATGTGGGGTGCTCATGGGGAAGCCCCTGCCAAAACGCTGGGTGCCAGGAGACCCAGCCCGGTCCCTTCCACCATCCCTGACCCATCTCCGTCCTCTGTCCCTGCCCCAGGATTGCCTGCACGGCCGAGGAGCCAGAGGCCGTGCCCTCAGGGATGCTCCTCGATGTCGCCAAGTACCTGGGCTCGCTGCAGTACAACGTGTGGAAGAAGATGCTGGACATCATCACCGTAGGTGAGGTGCTGGGTCCCCCCCAAGGGGCGGTTGTCCCAGGGCTAAAGCCTTTGCATGAGGCAGCCCCAGGGGTGCTGGGTGCTGGAGAGGAGTGGGGAGCAGCCGAGCTCTGGGGGGCTCTGGGGCGCTCGCACCCCAAAAGGGAAGCCCTGGGGGGTGCATTCCTCCGTGGTGAGGTGGGTTAGGGATGGAAGGGAAGGATGGGATGGAAGGATGGGATGGAAGGATGGAAGGGAAGGATGGACGGGACGGAAGGAAGGAAGGAAGGACGGGACGGAAGGAAGGAAGGAAGGACGGGACGGGAGGAAGGAAGGAAGGACGGGACAGAAAGAAGGAAGGAAGGACGGGACGGAAGGAAGGAAAGAAGGATGGGATGCAAGGAAGGAAGGAAGAATGGATATCTGCAGGGCTCTGGTCCCCTGTAAGCTCATCCCTGCAGCAAGCCGGGCTCCTAACACACGTTCCCACCACAGTCCCCTTCAGCTTTGACCCCAACTCCGCGGCAGGCTGGCTCTCGGTGTCCGAGGACCTCGCCAGTGTCACCAACGGGGGCTACAAGCTGCTGGTGGAGAACCCCGAGCGCTTCACCTCGGCCCCCTGCATCCTGGGCTCCCGCGGTTTCTCCACCGGCTTCCACACCTGGGAGGTGGACCTGGGCAGCATCACGAACTGGCGGGTGGGGGTGGCCCGGCCATGCAGTGGCACCCACTGGACCTTCCACCACGATGCTCGCTCTGGCTTCTGGTACATCTCCCGCCTGCCCGGGAAGGACGGCGAGACATGCCGAGCGTCCAACGCGGCGCATTCGGCGCTGGGTGAGGGTGACCTGCGACGGATCCGGGTGGAGCTGGACTGCGACGAAGGGGAACTCTCCTTCTATGACGCCGACCGCCAGACCCATATCTACACCTTCCACGAGAAGTTCGGCGGCACCGTCTTCCCCTATTTCTACGTGGGGGGCACGCCGGTGGGCGCGCTGCCCGCAGC